TGTAGTGATACTGCCTCAGAAACCCAAGGAGAGGTCGCTATGGGTCGGGTCTTACTCGATGGCAGATAACAACAACAGCTACTAAAGGTGTGAACTGTATTTTTCATTGCTAAATCTGTTTCTGAAGTAAGTCTGGATTATCTTTTTGTTATTTTTTTTCTTTTTAAAATACTTTCTAGAAAATAAGTCAAAAGGAAATGTAGTCCATGTGTTTTTACCATTTTGAAAAGCACAAGAACTTTAGTAAAACATGAGTATAATTTCTAAAGCTAGAATGAGCTATTTTAAGGTTTACAGAATTTATAAAATGGTGACCACACGCAGCTTTTAGCTTAAGGAGTTTCTTAGTGAGCACGGGCAGAACACAGCTGTCTCTCTGTCCAACCTCACCAAAGCTTGACATAAGAAATCACTCACCACTGGTGATGGGGAGAGTGCAATGTTGCCTATTGATGCCTTCAGTTCATCTACAGTGGCAGCATTCTTAAGAATGTCCTTAGATTGCAATGGCTTAATCTTGATATTAAATTTCTTGTGGGATTCTTCTTCCTCTTCCGATTCACTTGAAGAATAAAAGTGCTTTCCTTTGGTAGGTAGAACACAGTTAAGGCACGTAACTTTTTCTTCTGCCATGAGGCAACAATAAGTGTAAGATAATAATTGCACATAAAGACAGCAAAAGTATCCTTAGATAACAGAACATCAAAACTAACAACAATAAAAAAAGGAAAGGAGGAAATGTTCAGTATTTGTTCACCAAGCCTCAGGACATGATTGATTTAAGAATAGTGAGTATCAAGGAGCAATAGTTAAAATTTCCTGTATTTTTGTTGCATCCAGCCATTTGCTGTATCAATATAGTAAGAACAGAGAGACAGGCTCACATGAGCTTACTGGTGTATACCAAGAGAGGAAGGCCACTTTATGGATGATATGTGATTAGTTTAAGTGTTTCAGAGTGTGGCATGCTCTGCCCAGAGATGAACTGTGGGGAGAGAACAAGTGGAGAGCTATTTTCCAGTCATATCAGACCTCAGCCCACAACCTACTACCCACAATTTGCACAATTGTTTTTCAGCACATTTTCCTCTGTCTTCTCTCTTTTCTATGAATAGATCAAGGCAAACTGCCTGCTTGTTAATGATCAAGATGTTCTCAGTGCTGTTTATTCATCTCTAATATTAAGAATAACAGGGCTTGGGTGGCATGGGTTATGTCAGCACCTTTGTTAAACTTGAATTTATCATACTGTTTGCTGAGAGAGAATAAAAATTAAAGTGAAATAAATACAATAAAGGATATAGCCAGGTTCCTCAGGTCTGATGCTGTATCCTTCTTCATCCAGCTCCGGTGAGTTCTATAAAATACAAGTGCACATTGAGCAACTGTCCAGACAATGATCAAGGAATTATTAACTTTTGTTCTAGAGTCTTCTACTTAAAGATATAGGCATGCCTCTTATCTGAAGAGATTGGCATTTTAACTTGGAACTAAATGCTGAAAAGTATATGTATACGTATTTACTCAAGGATGCTTTGTAGCCTTTCTTTGGGAAAATTATCTAGGAATCAATGGTCAGTGAAAGAAAGCATTCAAAAAGAATTTATGCATTTCCTCTAAGCCAAGACCTGCACTAAGAAACACGAAGGATAAAAATGCAAATTATCTATCCTGAGGGAAATTGAAATATGAGAAAAATACAATAAAAACACTAAATACATAGTGTAGGATATGAGTTTGAAAGAAGCAAAATTAATGAGATTTGGAAGATCAAGAAAGTCTACATGGACCTTTCCAAACAGACAGCAGAGGGTGGGGTGGAGTCTCTTCTATGTGTGGGAGGAGCCTGGTTGAGACACCAAGGCAGGAATGGGCACTATGAGTCAGGACAGGGAGAGAGACAACACAGAGATGGGAAAAAAAGCTGTATTTGGGGTGATGTGGGAGATAATCATAGAGAGGTCTGGGGTGGGGGTGATGCCATGGGTGGCCAACATGTGGAGGGAAGAGTTTGGATCTGATATAGCTATGGCAACTTTTCAATTAGGACATGACCTGCTGAAAGCAGACTTTTGAGATGTTCTGGAAGTTGTTTCAGGATAGATTGTGGGCAGAATAAACTGGAGACAAGAAAACTAATTCAAAATACTTGCATCAATACAAGCTATACTAAGAACATGGATTAAGTTGTTGGTGGAGGGAAGGAACGAATCAAAGGCATTTGGAAAGACTGTTCTTGGTAACAGATCAATCATAGGAGAAAAAGGAAAGGAGGGATTTAGGAAGACACTATGATTCTCAACATCAAATCCCCGGAAATTGCTAGTACTCTAGGGTAATTTTAACAACATAATTAATGGGGGTGGGGAATAAAAGGTAATGTGCATTATTAGAATTAGTATGATCATTTTTGAGTTCCTATTAAATTGTAGGGAGCTCTGGTAGCATAGTGCCTAAGGCACTTGACTGCTAACCAGGAGGCTGGCAGTTCAAACCCACCAGCCACTCCTCGGAAGGAAGATGGGGCAATCTACTTCCCTAGTGATACTGCCTCGGAAACCCAAGGAGGGGTCTCTATGAGTCAGGTCTGACTCACTGGCACATAACAACAACAACAACATTAAATGGTAAGTACTGTGACCTACATTTTATCTCTTTGAACTCTCATAACAACTATCTCTTGCCATCAAGTTGATTCTGACTCATAGTGACCCCTGTTGGGTTTCTGAGGCAGTAAATCTTTATGGAAGTAGATTGTCTCATCTTCTTTCCACAGAATAGCTGGTGGGTTTGAACCTCCAACCTTCTGGTTAGCAGTCAAATGCCTTAGGCATCCCATGGGTAGTAAAAATTATCCCATTTACCAAAGAGAAAACAGACACCATTTCTTAAGGAAATACACACAACAAATGACAGACCTGGGCCTTGATCTCAGTCATTGTGAGGCCATACCCAATCCCCCAAAAGAGAGGAAGATGAAGAGTTCAAAGGTGGCCCTGTTAAATGAGGGTTATAGGCCAGGAAGTGAGAAAGGACAGCACTGGAGACAGATTTGGGAGTCATTTCAAGCAATAACAATGCCAAGGCCATAGAGAGAACAGGCTCTGAGCACCATGGAAAAAAAACACCTTTTTTGAGTCCTGCATTTATTGAGCACTTATTATATAGTTTCAGTTTTGTCCTTCTTCAGTACTCAGAAATAATCTATTTTAAATACAAGTGTTTCTGGATCACTTCCTGCTAAACACCTATCCCTGTCTTCTTACTGCACTTAGAATAAAAAGTTCAGGGCCTGCTGAACCCTATGTGATCTAGCTCTTGCCCTTCCTGTGGCCTCATTTCTATAATTCTCTTCCCTAATCACCCCTGATGGTCTTCTTTTCATCATGAACTTTTATGATTTGTATACAGCAAACTCATTTCCATTTCAGGGTACTCATATCATAAATGCCATTTTCTCTGCCTGGAATTATCTTTCCTCAAATGTTCACTCATATAACCCCTACTTGTACCTTAGGTCTTTGCTGGAATTTTACATTCTCAGAGGTCTTCTCTGCCCTTACCCATTCCCTGCCAAAATCACTATGATATAATCTATTAAGAATGATTCCAAAAAAAAAAAAAAAAAACACACACACACACAAAACCCAAACTCACTCCTGTGGAGTTGGATCTGACTCAGCGACACCTCCTTGGGTTTCTGAGGCGGTATCACTATGGAAGTAGATTGCCCCACCTTCCTTCCGAGGAGTGGCTGGTGGGCTTGACCGCCAGCCTTCTGGTTAGCAGTCAAATGCCACCAGAGCTCCAACTTGATGGCACATAACAACAACAGCAACAGCCTTTATGAAGGGGGAGGTGTGATCAGGACAGTCATCTGCAGGACATGTGCAAAGGCAGCAGGAATCACGAATTTGGACACTATTATTCATTAGAAATTATCTTTGATTTAAATATAATCTGTTCCATCCAATTAGAAATTGAAGCACGATTGTGACTGCCCTGTTGTGGTTGTTTGAAGTTCATGGTGATGTGATGATGTTAATCAGATTCTGGGGAATTATGAGAGGGCAGGTCTCAGCTGGGATTCACGCTCACTCTCTGAAAAGCAATAGTGATTGTCATGTGACTGGGAAAAAAATCTGTACTATGTGGTTATAATAATTGTTATGAAACCAATGGCCAGAGAAGTTAATTGACTTGCCTGGATTCTCAAAGCTACTTAGAAAAAAGAACCAGGGCTAAAACACCTGGAGTTACTATACGTATGTGTGTGTGTATATACATTCTACAGCCTGGGCAGGCTATTGGAATGTTCTTGAAATAATTAGCTCATTGAAACTTTGCAACAATGCTACAAGGTAACTAAATCCATTGCCTTCAAGTCAATTCCAACTCATAACTACCCTATGGGACAGAGTAGAACTGCCCCCATAGGGCTTTTAAGGCTGTATGTCTTTATGGGAGCAGACTGCTACATCTTTCTCCCACAATGTGGCCCATGGGTTCAAATCGCTGACTTTTGGTTGGCAGTCAAGTGCTTAACCTCCATGCTATCAGGGGTCCTAAGGATCTCAAGGAGACACACAGCTTATATGTGGATGTGTCAAGCCTTGAACCCAGGTCTGACAGACTACTTTAGTGTCAAAAGTAGTGTCCTTAACTTCTACACCATTCTAAATGTGCCAGCTACTTCCTAATGAGCTGGATAGTACTTCACTTATTTCTACTTTTGGTTTATAAATATAAGAATACTTCAACTTGATTTTAAGTTATAAAATAATTAATAAAGAAAAATAAAATCTTATACTCACATATCTTTCCCAATCAATTTCTGCATAAAATCCATTTGGTGCCCCATTGCTTTTCTTCTGTAATAAATTTTAAAATAAATTTAGAAGGCAAACATTTAAATAAAAAAAGAAAAGGAACAAAGAACATTTAACTCTGATTTGTACTGAGCAAAAGCTCTCAGAATCCAGCACTGAAAAGACAAATTACAGGAGCCCATGATGGAACCACACTGTTGCAAATGAATGGTAGGTTAGCTACAATGACACCACATAAAAGAACATACATACTTATTTCACAAAAGACTGGAGGATACCTAAAGACTGGTATATTAACAACTAACTGTTTAAATGTAATTCAATCACTGAAGAATTTGCGACACCTACATTATGATTTAATGCCCTATACCTTCAAGTGAGATGTGTGTGTGTGTGTGTGTATGTGTGTGTAATGGAAACATATTGACTTCTATGTTCCTTTTCTAGTATATTAGTTTCAATATACCCAAAGAGTGTCCATCCATGTTTCTCGCTAATATTTTAGCTTTTCTGGCACTGATTCAATTTTTTCCTGCCCATCTCCTTAATAGTATAGGAAATAAGCTCAAAATTAATTAATTCAGCTCTTAGTTATTAAAAATAGCATTGATATTCTTTTCAAATGGTTTTCTTAATCAAACAATTAAAATGGGATTTACTGACTAATTCTGGACTTCAGTCATCCACGTGTCCTATGCCTCCATGAGCACACATCACTACAAGTTAAAATGATATCAGCATTATTCTCTCTAGATTATTTTAAAGTTCCATTTTGGCCTCAGGCACAACCATGACATATGGCCACAAGTACTTGAATAAAAATGTGGCATTACCCAAATAATAATTGCTAAGATTCTCTACCTTTTGTGAGCAAAGGATAAAAACACAGATCAGGTTGATAATGGGGAGTCCATCCAACAACATTCCTCTAGTTAGCACATACAGCAATAGTGTGTCACTTAGCAATATGTGCTTAAAGCAGCACAGATCATATGGTGAGGCATGAGGCTTGAGGACAGGCCCTATGCTATTGCAATTACAAGGCCACTTGAACTACAGTGTGAATAGCTAACACCCAATTTGACAAATAGGTAGAAGTAACCTTTCTGTGAATCCATATAAAATCACTAAACCAAAAACCAAATCAAACTCACTGGCGTCGAATCAATTCGACTCATAGCGACCCCTCCTTGGGTTTTCGAGGCAGTATCTCTACAGAAGTAGATTGCCCAGTCTTCCTTCCAAGGAGTAGCTGGTGGTAACCAAGAATAACCATCATCATTGACTAACAGTTACTGAAGGTTGACTGGCCATTCTAAGAACTGGCAGTGGTTTAGCAAAGCAGCAACAGAGCACAGAAATAGAAAATGTGTCTATGCCTCTCTCTTCCTCTATACTGTACTGTGCTAGAATTTACAAATTCAAGAACTGTATCATGTTTCCACAGTTCAGCACTTAAAGACAAAGGACTTGTGCCTTTCCCACTCTTCTTCTTGCTTCAAACAAAGAATATATACGTAGACACTATCATTTTAACTATCCCATAGAATTGCCTTTATGGAATAAGTGCTTCAGTGTTATTCTTTTTATTTGAATAAATGTTGTTTTAAAAACCGGCCACATCAGCTCTGTGCCTGCATATACTATGAAGCTAAGTTCATTAAATAATGTTCCACATAATAATCACCCCCAAACTTTTCTCCCCTGGGGAGTGGGTGTGTTTCCTATTTTCTTTCTGTAATATTTTCTTTTATTTATTCCTTATTTACCAATCTGTTTGCATCTGGCTTCTTTGAAAAAACTTTCTTAAAAAGCATAAATAATAATAATAATAATAATAATAAAGCTCAATAAAGAAATTTAACTTTTGACTCAGAATGAAAAATCAAATGGACTAAGTTGATTCCAAAGAACTGAGTCTATGAATATTTTGACAGTAACTACTGCTATTAATATACCTATTAATTTTAAATAATTCCAAAATATAGAGGAAGTTTTTAGCTCATCTAAAAATCAAAGAGATTAGGTAAATTACTGAGTTCAAAATTTCAAAATTGTATTGTTTGCTTCCATGATAATCTCATCTCATAACCAAAGCCCTTCAAAGTTAAGGCAGCTTATATGTTCAGTTGAACATACACAGACACACACATATATAACCACACACACAGACACACACACAAACACACATAAACATACACACATACATATGTGTTTTTTTTCCCTAACAATACATACCCAATATTGTGGATAAAACGTTTCTGAATTTTCTAAATTTTTACTGAGTAAAAGTTTCCTAGTTTTCGTGGAATGCGATGGAAGATTGAGATGAAAAGAAAGCAAAATCTATAAATTTTTTTCTTTAAAAATAAGGACCTTTAAAAAAATACTAAACATAAACAACAAATTATAACAAAACATTTTTTAGGCAGATGTACAACACATAAACACATATATACACATACATGGCTTTATTAGAGGAATTAGTAATCTGGCTTCATTCATATCAGTGGTTTCTTAAAAGTATCTAGTGAAAATTATAAGTTAAAAGTAAGCAAGAGACTGCTGAAATTCTTCAGATCAAACATTCACAGGCCCCCCTCTTCAAAAAAACAAAACAAAACAAATAAACCCAATTCTCATTGTTTAACCACTTAAGCAAAGTACAGCTCATTGAAGTGGTAATTGTGAAGGGAAAGCTTTATTGATTTTCAAACTGAAAACTTTATAGAAGCAAGGAAGAGTATAATCCAAGTAGGGAAGCATCACTTAAAAACTAGGCTAAACAGTCAAAGCGTTATTGGCTATTTAACAAGAAATAGTGATTTTTCTCTTGGAGTTGGGATGATGTATATTTGTACTTCTCTGTATTTTCTAAAATTTCTACATTTAGCATAAGTAATGTTATAACTTGAATATGTGACTATTATTTAAAGATAATTGAGACTCACAGTGCTGTCCATCTTGCTTTATTTAATAGGTATTTTACTTTGGTCAGGCTTATTATCTGTCCTCAGATAATATGATGGGCTAAATTATTAATATAACAACAGAATAGTTGTATTCAACTACATTTTCATCAAGGTTAGCAATTTCCATTGTGAGCACTTCCTTTTCCCAAGGTTATTTCATGATCACATAGTGAGTGATCCTTGGGTTGAGTAGTAGTAGAGACACACAATATATTTCCTCAGTGCTATATTTTTATCACTGAAGTAGACTGGACTCATTTTGTAAATTATCTGATATAACAACATTGTCCAATGGAATTGTCTGTGATGTGTTCTGTATGTGTTCTGTATGTATGTGTTCTGCCCAATATGGTAGCTATTATCCACAAGTAGCTATTGAGCATTTGAAATGTGGCAAGTTCACCAAGGAACTGAATTTTAGATAAATTTGAATTTAAATTGCACACATGTCTACCATATTGGACTACACAGCTATAGATATTTGCATAGGCTGGGTGTGGATCAGCATCTTTGACTTGACATCCTTTGGTCATGTACACTGGCTCCCACAGAGCAAGATCTGCAGATTCTTGATGTTAATGACATGGTGCTAAACCTAACAAACTACTAATCAATTTGCAGGGTGGTGTTTGTATTATAGCCAAATCCTTCTTTATAGATAGCAGATTCTTTTTCAGATTTGAATCACTGCCCTTTGTCCAGGACACACACATCTTTTATGCCTGATAACTCTTTATAAAAGTCTACTTGGATGTCAATACATAGTCTGTATGGTAGGTTTACAAATTGGCTCCAAGTATTCAATAAGTAATTTGGGAATATCTAGGAACGTTTTCTTAAATGGAGTAAATAAAAGCTACTTTATTTTTCTTCCAAATTTCAGATTGGAATTTTACTCACTCTTTCTACAACCCCTTGGAAATTTTAAACTAAAATCTGTTTCCTTACCGAAACTTTTTTTCCGCCTTCACGCGCACATTCTGCTTTGTTATTGTAGGGTGGTTCATGTGGGCTGGGCTGCTGGAATTGATTGTTTTAATGTAGAAAAAAGTTGTTAAAGGATCTGTTTGTTCTTCAAGACACATATAAAGAATCACATGGAGTCAGCAAACATATCATAGAAGAAACAATTTCTAGCCAAATTTTAGGGCCTACCAATCTTGGCAGGATTCCTATAGTAGAGTGGACTTTGGGGCCCATAATGAGGCTCTATTCAGCAGGCCAGCTTGGCTAGGCCAGGATAAGAAAGGAAAAGATGCCTGATTCATCCCAGGCACTAGGGACCACATGAATCTATTCCTTATTCACCTAGCACTTAATTTATAGGTAGAGAACAGATACCAGGACACATCAGAAGAGACTAAAAAACACCAGCTATATTTCTAATCTAAGTGAAAGTCTAGTTCCACCATTTTTCCCCTGGAAAAAAGCCTTCCTGAGGGCCAACAATACAAATAGACATGTAGCTGATAGCTCCTTCTCTGCACCCTGTCCTGCACACCTCTTCAGGAGGAGCAGAGCAGACCCCTCAGATCAATGGCTGGGACCCCCAAGGCAAGGTTCCGAATCTTGGATGGAAATCTGTACTGCTTAGGAAAACGTTACGCTTTATCCTGTACAATTCAGTGTTTGCCTGGGCTAGCATGGATTGTTGTACGCAGCTCATGTCTCAGACATCATGACCTCCAGCTCTGCCAGCAGTGAGTCCACCCAGCCAGCAAGTGAGTGAGCAAGGCAAGCCAACTCCAGACATGTAACCCTGCCAAGAAGCTCCAGCAAAACATCAAAACATTGTCCCCAGAAAAGGGCTGCACTATATTTTGAGAAATTCAAATTAAGTAAAATGGCAGGACATTAAGCTTATTGTGTAGGCTATGCATTTACAGAGTAGCTTATAAACATTAGGTGGGTGTACCACCACCTGTAGTTTGTGGCCCCACACTAGTCAGACCATCAATTTCAACTCTACACATTCAAAGGGGAATAATTTGGAAGATAAATCACCCAGGTCAAAGTGGCTAGGGTCTACAGACACAGTGTCTTAAAGAAATCAATCTGAGTTTCAAAGAAATTTAGTCTGACATCTTTAAGGATGGAATGCAAACAGAAACTAGGGCTCTTATAGTACTGTTATGATAAAGCATTCTCAAAATTTGGTGACAATAGTAAGTGGGAGGAAAAAAACAAAACGGGGAAAGTTTCCAAATGGTAAAACTAGCAGCTGACTAAAAATTTCCAATTATCTACAAAGCTGTACACAGTGTTTCTGAGAAAACACATTTATTTCAAATGTCACCTGTTTCAGAACAGGTCTGTGTTATTTCCTAAGAAATAAGAATTAAAGAATTCCTCCTTTCCAATAATCACGACCAATGATATTTATGGCATTTCCAATTAAATGGCAAGGAAGGCAGAACTGCTAATAAATGAATTCATATGCTTTGAAATCATGGAGGCAGAGGAGGATTCGGGGAACTGGTACATGAAGTCTTGACCTAGCATGGACAGACCCCCAGAATCACTGCTGGAGTCATTCATGCAGCAAATACTCATGGTTCCTGCCATACGCCAGCAGCTGACCCCAGCTCTGTGACACATATTCTACTCAGAGATTTAAACATGGTTCTCAGAAGAGGAGAGAACAGTGAGTTAGCAATGGGGCCTCAGAGACAATAAGCCAGGTGGGAAGAGGGTTCAGAGAAGGAACAAAGGACAAGACTGGGGCTGGCAGAGGGAGAGAAGCAAGAAATAGCAATGAGCCTGGGAACAGCAGGGATAGAAAGCAGAGAAAAGCTAATAAAGCCTTGCAAAGGTCAGCACGGAGAAAACAAGAGAATCTAGGGAGGGGACCAAGACAGAAGCAGAGAGAAGACACAAGCGAGAGTACCTGAGACAGAGTTAAGGAGAGGGCTCTGAGCCAGAAGCAAGAGGTGAGGAGAAGCTGGGTCTTCTGAGTCTTTTTTTTTCCCTGCTGAATAGAGCCTTGATTACAGTGTTACCCAATGTCTGATGAATTTCAGTCTATTTTCTTAACATTTCATGGTTGAACTACTTGAAAGTAAAAGACACCCAAAGCTAAGACCCTTGAGTCAAGTGTGGGGAAAAAACTCCTGCTACAGTAGCAAGTAACACCCAAATTAGGTATAATATTATAAAGGGTGATGTTTCAAAAAATATTTTTAACCTCTAGATTTATTTTAGTTCCCACTCCAGTCCAATGAGCCTTATGCAAGCCCCTGCCTTTTCTTCCCCTTTGTATTTTTCCAGTAACAGCTGTTCTTTTGAACCTTCTAAATAGGAATCTGATTTAGATCTGAAGGAAGTCATTTTAGAAGTTGGTGCAGACTCCCATAAGCACAACTTGGATAAATCCAAGTCCAGGCTCCACAGATTTTTTGAAAAATCAAAAAAATCTGGCGGCCAGCAAGGAGTCAGAGTTACTGTTAAATCTAAACCCAGTGGACACATTTTCCTCCTTCAGGCTGTAAATTCAGGCATAAGTGGTTTCCAGACCACTCCTTACTTTTGAATTTAATATAGAAAATGTATCTGCAGCTTAATTACTAAAGAGAAAAGCCTTCTTCCAATTTTATTGGATCTGAGATCCATTATGAATTTGTGTCCTCTGTTAGAGAAAAGCATTCTCACATAATGAACGTTTACATCATTAACTTGAAAATGAAATCACTGTTGATGGTAGCAGCCCCTGCATGAACTATCTGGTTTTTTGACCCACTCTACTGATGACTGCTTTTCTTGCCTACTCTGGGGCAGGGTTTTAGGTGAATAAGCAAGTCTAAATTGACCAAGATCGCATTTATTCCTCATGCAATTACTATAGAAAATTATAACAGCAAGCAGTCTGAAAAGTAATTGAAGCTACTTTTCCCTATAGAAAAAAGTAGAGCTTTAAAAATTTTTAAAATAGCATATACCCAAGTGAAAATCTACTAAAAATGATCATTTAAATACTTACAATTCCATCTCTGTCTGGTGAACCTCTGTAACGAAAATAAATTAGTAGCCATTAGAAAAAGAACCATTTTTGATATGTATTAAAGTACAACAATAAGGCAAAAAAAAAAAAAGCAAGCCCACTGCCATGGAGTCATTTCCAACTCACAATGATCCTACAGGGCAGAGTTGAACTGCCCCATAGGGTTTCCAAGGCTATATATCTTCATGGAAGCAGACTGCCACATTTTTCTTCTACAGAGTAGATGGTGGATTTGAACCACGAACCTTTTGGTTAGCAGGCAAATGCTATACACACTGCACCACCAGAGCTCCTTTTCACCATACCTTCATTAACATCTGTCCTCCTCCACAATAAATCAGGTGAATGAAAACCAAATCAAACCAAAGTGGTTGAGAGTGATGTTTGAATGTGGGGTGTGTGTATATGTGTGGAAGGAGATGGTCATCAAAAACTCAAGTCTAAAATGCACAAGTTGCTGGTGCAATGCTTTGGTCCACTTTGGAAAGAAAACTCATTAAAGAGTCTGTCCCAGATCAACTGGCTCCATTTAAAATTACCACAAGGATTATAACCCCAGTTGCTCTCATCTTTTCTCCTGAGAGTGATCTTGAATTTTCTCTTATAAGGAGAAACCTCTGTGGCATTTCTCAACTTATATGAAGATCTGTACTTTTTTCAGTATTTCTTTAGTTAATGTCTCCTTTGATTTTATGAAAGCAGGCAATGGAAAGCAATGTTTAGCTAAGTGTCTTACACTGCTGACTAAAGTCCAGGGAAGTTATTCTATGGTGGCACTATGCCACAATGGTTAGGAGTCAGGGATTTTAAATAAGATGAGTCTTAGTATCTGGGCTCTACTACTTAGCTCTGTGACTTTGAACAAGTTACTTAATCTGTCTAAGCCAGTTTAAATAAAAACGGAAAAAAAACAAACTCACTGCCTTTGAGTTTATTTGACTTATAGTGACCCCTCCTTGGGTTTCTGAGGTGGTATGTCTATGGAAATAGATTGCCCAGTCTTCTTCTGAGGAATGGCTGAGTGGGTTTGAACTGCCAGCCTTCTGGTTAGCAGTCAGATGCCTTAGGCACTATGCCACCAGAGCTCCTAGTTTAAATAAGGCAATGTATATAAAGAACTTACCACAGTGTCTGACAGATCACCCATCCACTGCCATTGAGTTAATTCTGACTCTAATGACCCTATGGGACAGAATAGAACTGTTCCATGGGGTTTCCAGGGCTGTAAATCTTTTCAGAAGCAGACAGCCTTACCTTTCTCCTGCAGAAGACCTGGTGGGTTTGTCCCACAAACCTTTTGGTTAGCAGCCAAGTGCTTTAACCACTATACCACCAGAGCTCTTTCCTGACACACAGTAAATACTAGAAAATGTTAGTTTATTATTATCTCTGTTCTCTTATCATTCTTCTCTAGGAATACAAAACTGAGAAATTGCAGCCAGATTGGAATTTATAGCAACAGAGGTGGGGAGTTAGAAACCTGTTATTCTATTAACACAAGGACCAGAATTAAGCTTAAAAAGAGACCTGCATTGTTTGGAATGAAACTTTAATAAGTGTTTGGGTGCACTATGAAACACTGAGGAGTGTGGTTAGAATTGTTTTTTAGGAGGTGGGACCAGGTAAGGAAATTCTTTATTGCTTGTTGGGATTGGGGTGGATGAGAGGATCTATATCTCTCTATATATCATTCCTTCTTTCCTCCCTCCCTCCCTCACTTCTTCCTCCTCCCTTCCGCTTTCTTTCTGTTTATCCATCTATCTATCAATCTACCTTTTGACCTCTGGTGGCATACTACCTAAGGCATTTGACTGCCAACCAGAAGGCTGGCGGTTCAAACCCACCAGCCACTCCTCGGAAGGAAGGTTGGGTGATCTACCTCCATAGAGATAGTGCCTTGAAAACCCAAGGAGGGGTGCCTATGAGTCAGGATCAACTCAATGGCAGTGAGTATCTATAAAGAGAGAGAAAGAGGAATGCAGAGGTGGAATACTGCTTGGACTCCAAGACATAATTTCTTCCCTATCAACCACCTCCAAAATTAGAAGCAATCTACTTAGATTATAATACACTCAATGAAATTGCATTTCTCATGATAACCAGTGAAAAGACTGAGTTCTGTGTCCACCTCAGTGATATCAGCAGGGGTTAGAAGCAGAAATCTCTGAGACTGAAAGATCATGAAAGTTGGCAGATTTCTTAGAGACTCTGGAAATTCCCTGGTCATAGAAATTAGGTTGTTCAAAGAAATCTCATGTAAAATAGAAGAACAGGAAAAAACTCCAGTGACAAAAGAGTCACAGTTCATTCATCAAATACTGAGTGCTTATAATGAGTCAGGCACTGGGCTAGGACCAGGGGATAGAAATAGTGAACAAGACTTGCTTATCAGAGAGAGCATGCGACAGGCAAATAAATGCAGTGGGTTATCGTGTTATCAAGCTGGTAGGAAAGCACAGAGGACAGGTACCATCCTCCACTCATCGAAACTAACTTTCCTTTTGATGTCTATATGCTGCTGTAGCATAGTGGCTAAAGCACTTGACTGCTAACCAGAAGGCTGGCAGTTCAAACCCACCAGCCACTCCTCGGAAGGAAGGTTGGGCAATCCTACTTTCATAGTGATACTGCCTCGGAAACCCAAGGAGGGGTAGCTATGAGTCGGGGCCGACTCGACAGCAAACAACAACAACAACATGCTGCAAGAAAATGAGTTATTACTGGGATCTCAAGCCCTGTTAAAGGAATTGGGCAAAATGGTTACTGGAGTAACTTTTGGGTAGTTTATATTCAGAGGCACCAACCTTTGTGGTAGCAGTGCCACAAGGACAGCAAGCAATAGATGCGAAGAAGAGAAGGGTCTGGAGACTGGCTTGGCTGCTGTGTTACCCACAGTTGGTCCAGGTACAAGGACATATCCAATATCTTACTGGAAGGTCACTTGATCTCATATGTATTTCAAAATTTTTAATCCAAAAAGCCATAGTTGTACACATAAGCATTGGAATCCTATTCTGATCCTTTGTCTTATGATGGAAATGGATCTGGTATCTTACAGTACGGTGATATTAGCAGGATAGTTAAGAGTATCAGCTCTAGTACCAGGATGGTGTTCAGTCAACTTAGATGTCCTAGTTGTATAACCCTGGGCAGGTTACTTCACTTTTTTCATCTAAGCTTTCTCATCTATAAAATAGCAATGATAGTAGCATATATCCAATGTTGTTGGAGGACTAAATTAGTTAATGTAAATAAAGAGCCACAGAATAGTTTCTATCACATAGTAATACTCCTTGTCACCTAAAATAATACTTATTATATAATCTGACAAAGGACTGTGTAATGGGGATATTTTAGCAGCCATAGACACCTGAGTATATGTTCTAAATTCATTGTATAACTCTCTTTCATGTGGGTTTACATTATATATATATTTTTTCTTTTTAACAGCATATATATTTTATCTACTGACTTCTAATTTAAAACTAATCACCTACCATGGACGCTTTGTCTCTATATTTAAAAGTTTTAGCCACCTCTGGTAATTACTACCTTTTCTCTTTTCCCCTCCTGTTTGCCTGGATTATAATTTTGTCCAGCTATCCTTTTCATTCCAGGTGGTAAAACATAAGCATTAGATTCTGTACTAGAATACTGGCTCCAAGTGTGATTTTTTTCTGGGTAGACTTCAGTGAGTTAGTTAACCACACTTGGCAATGATTTCTCATTTCTCAAACTGAGATATTGGTACTTATCTTATTGAATTAACATGCTGATTAAAAAGGACATCAGTGCATACAAAATACTAAGGCCTGCCACTTAGCACAGCCTTTCTCCCTTCCTCTGTTTATCAGCAACTGTAATGATGATCAAATCAGGAAGTTCTGGTCCAAACCCTACTCTTTATTGAGGGAGGCTCAATCAGCTGGAGTTGGTGCTGGAGTCTAGCCCAGCAGGTTGCTTAGCAACAGCCCTGAAAAGTTTCCATCAACAAGATTTCAATGATCCCAGCTTAACATAAGCACTACCTTAAGCTGAAGGGACAGCAAATTGCCACAGCATTTTTCCAATCCTTCTGCATGATTCCTTTTGATAGAATGATAGTCTAATTATAGAGCTGAGCTTTATGAAAAACAAAGGCTTATACTAAACTGGTTGTCCTTCAACTATCCATTGCTAGTAGAAGCAGTCTAGGGACAATTTGCTATCATGTAAGTAATTTGGGTATACTTAAATGGTAAGAAGTTAAAGGGAGAGATGGGGGTTCAACAAGCAAATGGCCCTTTAGAGTTCCTCAGAGAGCTATTGGGCATATACCCAAAGCCAAGAACAATTTACTTTTTTTCATATCTTTAGATATGGAGAAGGAAAAACAGTCCTTTGGCCACATGCAAATTAGTTCATTGTGCCCTGGTGAGGTTGTTTAACATCTTTTCCCTTTCTAGAAGGGCTTTTCCTCCCCTTTTAATGGTCTTCACACACCAGAGATTATATGCAGTCAGTTACAGACATTGTCTTCAAAGGAAAATGGATGTAGTCACTGTTAATGATGTTCTCCTGAGGTGTGTCTACAGTTTTACACACCACATCTGGCACACTGTAGCTGTCAATGGATGTTGCTGACAGACTGACTGGTACAGTGTCTGGCACTTCAGGAAAATTAGTTCCACTTGTAAAGTTTCACTTTTCTAGATGAGAAAATTGAGGCCCAGCAAAGGAAGGTACGATTCCCAAGGCCATGGAACTTCTGGCAGTGCTGGGACCAGGGCCTAGGTCTTCTGACGCCAGTGAAAAACCACTACCAATGTCTAGAGAATGGCAATTTCTTAAGAAACAGTATGAATTACACAATCCTCAGAAATATTCTTAATCCATTCATTTAGAAAAATTGGCAGAACTATAATAAATATATTTCCATGAAATAATTATTTACGAAAATAAAAGCACACACATATGCACACACACAAAGAAAGTGAGAACGGGAGACTTAATATCTGAAGTCTGGGAAAAAAGTGTCTTTTTTCCCCAATTCTTTATATTCTTTGGCTTAATACCCTTTGAGGCTTCACGACTGCCCATTACCTAAGCAAGGAAGACCAGAAACCTCATACTAGCAATGCCATTCTTCCCATGTGGTCCTGACCTCAGGTCCAGCTTTGCCTTCCATTATCACCTTTACATATAGCCAACAGGTAGACACACTGCCCATTTATCTTGTTCTGAACACTTCCTGGACTTTTCTACCTCTCTAATTTTGCTTTTGTTTTGCCCTCAGCATGAAATGCGTGTCCTCATCCTCTCAAAGGTCAAATTCAAAGAATCCTTTCTCTGAAGCATCACTGATGATCTATCAAAATATGAGCTCAAACTCCCATGAAATTTTTTTTAAAAATCACTCATAAATAACTTGCAATATATTACTTTGTATTAGTAATAAAGGTAGTAGCCAAATCAAGAAACCAAACTTACTGCCGTCGAGTTGGATTCTACTCATAGTGACCCTTCCCTTGCATTTCTGAGGCTCCTTGAAAGGAAGACGGGGCAATCTACTTCCGCAGTGATACTGTCTTGGAAATCCAAGGAGGGGTTGCTATGAGTCAGATCCAACTCCACGGCACATAACAACAACAACAACATCACTACGGAGGTAGATTGCCCCATCTTCCTTCTGAGGAGTGGCTGATGGGTTTGAACTGCCAGCCTTCTGGTTATCAGTCAAATGCTTTAGGCACTACGCTGAGCTATTAGGTGTCATATTTCTTTTTTCTGATGTACCATTGAGGAAATTCTGATTCATAGTGACCCAATGTGACAGAAGAACTGCCCCACAGGGCTTCCTACTCTGTAATCTTTAGGGAACCAGTTTGTCAGGTCTTACCTACCATGGAGCCGCTGGTGGGTTCAAAATGCTGACCTTTCAGTTAGCAGCAGAGCTCTTAACTATTGAGCCAGCAGGGCACCAAAGTGCCACATGAGGCATTTCAACACATTATCTAATTTTAAGAAATATATTTTAATTAATATCATAGATATTTTATTACATGAATTTTTACATAAATTCTTAGAGGACAAGGAATTAGAGAAATACTCAGCAGCGTGTAATAAAAGTTTTACACAATAAAAATAGAATGAAAAACTAAAGGTAAGAATAAATGTAGTCTTTTTCTTTCCCACCTGTGCCCAAACAACTATTGATTCCCTATTTTCTAATTTTCTTTCAGGGCTCCCAGCCAAATAAGACGTTTAATCAACTCAATTCTGATTTATAGTGGACCACATCAGGTCTGCATTTTCAAATGGTCACAACCAGCTGCAGCTGAGTAATAGTGCCCTCTTGACCCTGGCCTTGGGCTGGAATTCCAAGTTCCTGGACTGCTGACTTCATGTATTTAAGTTATCTGCCTGGATTAAAAAGGTACTTGAGTTTTTGACTCAGAGCTAAATACTTCTAAAGGAGGATCCAAGGTGGTCTAGTGAGTGGAATGAAATTGATATGTGCTTGTTCATTTTCAAAAGGGGTATGTCAGTGTCCACGGGCAACTGGTTCTCTTGGGTGAATTTAAACATGTATAAATATCCACTCTGTTGTTTCTGGCACTGCTGGCTTAGCAGCCATATCATCATTCTTGTGAATTCTGTTATCTGATCCACAATTGTGCTTATACAAAATGTTGGCATCTCAAGTAAGAGATTTGGGTGTTACCTAGTATACTTTCTGTTTCTGGTTACTCCCAAACTACCTAAACAGGTATTCATTTCTTCAGTTCAGTTTCTATGGGCAGTCTTAGAGTAGACACATATGTTTTATGTTAACTACATAAGTGAACGTCACCCTTTCCCCCTCCCAGGACTGCTGAATAATATGGCTGTCATGCTATTGAGAAATAAGAAATGATGGAAAATTGAACACGAGATGAAAATCCTTCACCTCTATAGCACAAAACTAAGAATTGTTTATGCCCAGCAACTACAATTTACCCAGAAATGGAGAAAGCAACTGAATAGTACAGGATATCCAAGAAAACTCTGTGGCAATTATAAAGCAACAGTGATATCTCTTATTCAAATAGCTTCTTTGGAGGCAAATTTTTAAAGTGCTTACGTAGAGTCAGTGTCCTTTTCTTTCTTCCGTATTCCAAAGGCCTTCCTTGTACGTTTTTTCAATCCTGTGGGAAAAGAGAAAAGGGGCAAAGAAATATATCAGCAATGTTCAAGAGAACATATTTTTAGAGTTGTAACAATCGAGATAAACTTGAATGTGCAAAAGCCAGTGGAAGTTTTGTCAACTGTATGTGTGTATATGTGTGTGCATGTGTATGATTCCTTATTATAGCTTTCATCAGATGTTTATCAAGAACTCAGCACTATAGGTTCTCAGCACTGTAAGCAACATAAGGATGCACGGGTATAGAGAAGATTGCAAGCTTTTCTTAGACCATTTTTGTTCATCATCTAAATTGGGGCTCTGCCAAGAAGCTGAATCACAGATGTATAAGAGTAACAATTTTCAGGTTAGACACATTCTTGTGATTGGGATAATAAAGACACAAATCATGGAAACCATACTAAGAGAGCTACATAGTCCCAACACATCTTTGGGTTCCATATTCCCATCTCATCTTTTTTTACCTTCTCATCTCTGTGGTTAGGCTGGATTAATAACCATCTCAGTAGTCCTTGGGTAGTATAACAATTAATGCGTTCAACTACTTACTAAAAAGTTGGAAGTTTGAGTTGGCCAAAGGCACTTAGAATAAAGGCCTGGTGGTCTACTTCAAAATATCAGCTATTGATAACCCTGTGGAACACAGTTCTACACTCACACACATGGGGTCACCATGAGTTGGAATTAACTTTAAGGAAACTTTTTTTTCCTGAACATACTCCAACCCTTGTACTTCAGTATCTCTTTTTTTTCTTTATTTCAATATTTCTTTTTTTCTTATGTAGTCCTTACCTCTGATTGAAATTCTTTTCTTATTTTGTCAACATTTAAATTTCAATTCATCTTCTAAGGTCCAGGCCAAAGTCCACTTCCTCTGTGGGGGCCACTCAATCCTAGTTGTGTTCAGACCAGGACTTTAAACTGATTTGAACTGGTTGAGTCATGGCTGACAGAGCAAACAGAATCAGATTTGTAAAATGTGGATGTACCAGACTGATAATAATTATAGCGATAATAATAATTATATCGTCGAAGCCCTGGAGTGAGAGACTTGGAAGAGGTGTAGTGAGACATTTCAAGAGCTGGTTGTGGGAGATTGGATTATTGCCAGAACTATGGAGAATATACATACTCAAAGTTGTAAGGTGGGCTGCCATCTTTGAGCTGGGCACCACTGTTTATGAATCTGCCAGTCAAGAGATTTGGTTGCTATGCTATGTGCACACTATCCTTGTTTTCTAAGAGGGAGATTGTTTCTAGCAGGGCATTTACCAATAATTTTTCCTGTTCCAGCTACCATGCCAGTACACTCACATTTTACAAATTTGTGTCCGTTGCAGTTTTACTTCTTTGGCCATGACCCAAACAGGAAGAATCAGTTTGAAGTGCTAGTTAAGACACAAACTATTCTGTGCTTCAAGGAGCTCTGGTGGCACCGTGGTTAAAAGCATTGGGCTGTTAACCAAAAATTGATGGTTTCGGCCCACTAGCCACTCCATGGGAGAAAGATGAACTAGTATGCTTCCAAGGATTTACAGCCTTGGAAACCCTATGGGGGCTGTTCTACTCTGTCCTATAGGGTTCCTACAAGTCAGAATTGACTCAATAGTAGCTGGTTTGGATTTTGGTTCATTTTGTGCTTCCCCAAAATATTCTTATATGTATTATATCAAACTGTACCATACTTGTTTTCCCTTGCAAGTCTCTCCTGTTATAATGTGAGCCTTTCCAGGACAGAGGCCAAGGCATTCTTGTTTGTACATCCTGGACACCTACTACAGTTACCAGATAGCATTTCTTGATTTAAAATATCATTAGGGCAGCATTGGAGTGGCAAGGCTCCTTTATTCCTTCCTGGACAATCAGGCCCAATCTTGGGTCTTCCTTTCTTATTCTGTCAAGGCTCTATTTGCACTTCCCATTCCTAGAACCCCTACTTGTTTTATAAGAAGCACTAGTGGCACAACAGCTAAGCAGTTGAGCCCACCCAATGGCTCTGTGAAATCTGCTTATATAAAGATTACAGTCAAGAAACCCTATGGGACACTTCTACTTTGTCACATGGGGTCCCAATGAGTTGAAATGGACTTAATGACACGTAACTACCATAAAATGTTTCATAGTTACACACTTGGCTTGTGTTTCTTGCATTAGTGATTAATTATTACAACACATTGGGGTCACTATGAGTCTGAATCAACTCTATGGCAGTGGGTTTGGTTTTTTTTTTATTTTTGTTGTTGTTGTTGTTCCAACACATTATATATTCAAAACTGTAATTTCTTACTGGTGCTTTGGGAAATCTTCTTGAGAAGTTGGAGCTAGAGAAGTCATTTGTACTACAGGATCTATGTTTGGAACTACTGGGTGGATTAAAAAGGTCTCTGGTGTCATAGTGCTTAAGGCATTTGACTACTAACCAAGAAGAAGGCTGATGGTTCAAAACCACCAGCCACTCCTCAGGGATAGAATAAAAAGAAAAGCACTGATCAAATCACTGATCTGATGGCACCTACTTCCAAAACATATGAGTCAGCCCAAACAGCTCAGATTATCTGAATCATTCATTATCTGGCTCTTTGTGTACTACTCACATATAATCTCCAAAAGGCCTCTGTTCCATCTAATTTTGTATTTTAATAGTCATTTCATTTCAGAAGTTTAGGTTTTTAAAATGTCAATGTTTGTTCTTTCAAAAAAATCTCTTCCCACATAAAATAGTTTTCCATTACTCTCCATGTGAGGAGAGTTAAACTGAATGACATTTAAAACTTAGGAGCTCTGGCAGCATAGTGCCTAAGGCACTTGACTGCTAACCAGAAGGCTGGCAGTTCAAACCCACCAGCCACTCCTTGGAAGGAAGGTTGGGCAATATTTCCATAGTGATACTGCCTCGGAAACCCAAGGAGGGGTTACTATGAGTCAGGTCTGACTCGACGGTACATAACAACAAAACACCTAATATTTAGGAAAATCTTCCCTTTTTTCATTTTTAATTTTGTTTTCTTCCTTCTCACATCTAACTGCCTTTTCTCCTTATAGGGACAAAGAATCATAATCATAGAATAATTTTCCTCCTGCAATTTTTCTTAGGCCTCATGTCTCTTCTTTAAACAAAACAAAACAAAACAAAAAAAACTATTTTACTTAGGCATCATGTCTCTTAACTGGTTTTTCCATGCTTCTAACTTAGCCATTAGATTGATGATGAAGTATAATTGCCAATCACTACTGGTTTTTATAGGATTATAAAACCAATGATATTAATATCTTATGTTTACAAAATACTTTATTTCCCACAACTTGACCATGAGATAAAGATAGCATGTTGTACCAAGTAGAACAGTAACTCTCCTATTAAACTAATAACAGAGAAGACAACTGTAGTTTTCCATAGCCCCTGACCTGTTTTTGATTATCACATTTGGACAACAGCCAATATAATCTAGGTCATGAAAGTCTGATTTCCGAAGAAATGTGCCCAAGAAAAGGAGTCAGGAGATGCAGGGTCTAATTGAAGCTCTGTTTCTAAATGCTTAGCCTCATTCAAGTTATGTTCTCCTTGTTTTTCAGTCTCTCAGTCAGTGAATAATACAGAAGTCAACTAATAATAATAAGGGGAGAAAGGATATACATATCTTCACAAAATACTAAGCCAATCAACAAATTTAATTTCACTGAAAGTGCTATTTTTTATGAACAAAGAATACACCATTGATGTGCTATTCCAGCAAAAAAAATCTAATTGTTGATAGGAGAAAACATTGAAACTTTTTTCCCATGAAAATTGGGAAGACTTTAGAAGTTTAGGAAAGTATGAAGAAAATTCTGAAAGCCTAAAACAAAGTTATAAAATGTGAAAGCAACTTCCATCTAAACAGCTCTTGGAGAAGATCCAAAAAGAAAAAAGTCACATCAGGTACATTTAAAGTCATTATAGAGATGCAGTTATGTCTTTTGAGAGTTTATTTAAAAATATTCAAAGAAACTCTTCAAAAGAGAGAAACAATAGTTGAAGATCGTATAAGA